GGTGTGGGACTATCAGTGCTTTTGGCACAAATTTTATTGTAATTGTCCAATGTAGTAGATGTGCTCCTTATCAGCGGGTTTGGATTATTTTTTGTGTATGGTCTCCTTCATTTCCAATATTCATTTACATCTCACCTACTTATGTGAAAACTACTTACCTTACCTCATCCCTTACAGATCTTACTTCATCCCTTACAGACCTTACTTACCTCATCTCTACAAATTTTACTTACCTCATCTCTTACAGACCTCTTCTTACCTCATCTCTTACTGACCTTACCACATCTCTGACAGACCAAAATTACATCATACTTACAGATCTTTTTTCTTCTTGTTTAAATGTTTTCTTCTCTGGTCAAATCCCCCCACACCCCATACCCTCCATGGTCTTTAGGTTCAGCATACTCTCCTTTGTGATGCAGAAATACAATTCCTGTATAGACAGCTTCCACACCTGCTCACTCAAGGCTCTTTGTACGGCACTCTCCAGGTGAGTTGGTCCCTTGAAAATATCCCCCTTGACAGCTGGGACTCTGGTCTATAAAAACTCGACTCTCTGAGCGATGTCACCAAGTCATTTGACATTCTCTGAGATCACTGAGGATTTTCCTTTCTTTCTACCGTGTCACTTTAACGATTCTGATTGTCTAAGGTTTTTACTGAAAATAGTGTTGCAATCAAGATATTTAATACAAGGTGACACTATTGCCCAGTTTAGCTAACTAACCCAGTGGTCGGCAAACACATTAGTCAAAAGAGCCAAAAATCAGCAGCAGGATGATTTTAACAAGTTTTGAGAGCCAATTTTTTTTTCAAAAACCTGTCAAGAACAATGTTTTTCGGAGTCAACCCGAGTTGTGGCCGGCTGGCCGAGCCGCACTCAGGAGCCGCATGCATCTCACGAGCCGCGCTTCGTCGACCACTGAACTTAACCAAAGAACTATCACTATTAACCATCACTAGACCAAATGACTTTCACTATTACCCATAACTGCACAAAATGACTGTCTCTATTACCCATAACTGCACAAAATGACTTTCTCTATTACCCATAACTGCACCAAATGACTGTCACTATTACCCATATATGCACCAAATGACTGTCTCTATTACGCATATCTGAACCAAATGTTGGACTCTATTACCTATGTTTGTAGACTAAGTGACACTGGATTCATCAAGCCCGGTGGTCCTCAACCTCGCATCTCTCTGTTCCCTTCATTGCTTGTAGAGTTTCTAATGGCGACCTACTTTGCTATGTAAGTTGTTACCTTTAAAGACACCCTTTTTTTAGAACAATCTAGCCTTTTCGGATTGTCTATTAATTTCTACCTTAAAATACAATTTAACATTGTTTAAAAAATCTAAGCTTGAAGATCTAGTTTCAAAACCTGGGGGGAAAAAAATATTTTTTAATGAAATTTAGCTTTTAGATATTATCGCACTTATAGTTAATACTTTAATTTAGTTCCGATAACAGCTCTCTTGTTCATATACAAATGTAAAAGTAATGATATGGGGAAAATAAAGTGCTAAACAAATGTAAGAATACATTGAAGACAGATCATTAAAAATCTGGACAGGTTCAATGGTCACAAGAAGTTAGCTCTAGCGGCGATACAATCAACACACAGCAGAGCCTGCTATGAACTCTACTCGGATGTCCTACTGGTAAGTAGGATTTAATGTCTGGTAGTGTGCTGTACCACCACTAACTACTACTAAAACTAACTACTACCATCACTTACTACTACTAAAACTAACTACTACCATCACTTACTACTACTATCATTAACTACTAGGCCTAAACTAACTACTACTAGGCCTACCACTAACTACTACCTCTAACTACTACCACTAAGAACTACCACTAACTAATATCATTAACTACTACTACCTCTAACTACTGGTATATTAAGATAATACCCAGCAAGGCCTCAGCCTTATCTTGTTTCAACCAAATTTGCTGGCTAGCAGCACCCTTGGAATAAACACCTCATAGCTTCCTCTCTGGCATAAGAAGAGGTATTGTTTCTGAGACAACTCCTTCTAGTACAGAAGTCTTCCTCTCTGGCATAAGAAGAGGTATTGTTTCTGAGACAACTCCTTCTAGTACAGAAGTCTTCCTCTCTGGCATTACGTATGAGGTATTATTTCTTAGATAACTCCTTCTAGTACAGAAGTCTTCCTCTCTGGCATAAGAAGAGGCATTGTTTCTGAGACAACTCCTTCTAGTACAGATGTCTTCCTTTCTGGCACTACATAAGAGGTATTGTATCTTAGACAACTCCTTCTAGAACAGAAGTCTTCCTTTCTGGCACTACATAAGAGGTATTGTTTCTAAGACAACTGCTTCTAGAACAGAAGTCTTCCTCTCTGGCATAAGAAGAGGTATTGTATCTTAGACAACTCCTTCTAGAACAGAAGTCTTCCTTTCTGGCACTACATAAGAGGTATTGTTTCTAAGACAACTGCTTCTAGAACAGAAGTCTTCCTCTCTGGCATAAGAAGAGGTATTGTATCTTAGACAACTCCTTCTAGAACAGAAGTCTTCCTTTCTGGCACTACATAAGAGGTATTGTTTCTAAGACAACTGCTTCTAGAACAGAAGTCTTCCTCTCTGGCATAAGAAGAGGTATTGTATCTTAGACAACTCCTTCTAGAACAGAAGTCTTCCTTTCTGGCACTACATAAGAGGTATTGTTTCTAAGACAACTGCTTCTAGAACAGAAGTCTTCCTCTCTGGCATAAGAAGAGGTATTGTATCTTAGACAACTCCTTCTAGTACAGAAGTCTTCCTTTCTGGCACTACATAAGAGGTATTGTTTCTAAGACAACTGCTTCTAGAACAGAAGTCTTCCTCTCTGGCATAAGAAGAGGTATTGTATCTTAGACAACTCCTTCTAGTACAGAAGTCTTCCTTTCTGGCACTACATAAGAGGTATTGTATCTTAGACAACTGCTTCTAGAACTGGGACGGCAAACTTTCTGAGCCATATATTTATTTATGCCAATGTTACTGCCTTGTTTTAAATGGAAGAAATTCATAGACTGTTCAGTTCAAAATCATTTCTTGAATGACTGTGAATAAAATTATTATAAACTTAAAAAGTAGAAAATAAATTCCTATGAAATATAGAAATAATATCCTCTTTATCATACTTTATGGAACAATATGTTTTCTTTTTAAAAAGATTTCGCTTCAAATTTTGCAGAAAATTGTTTTATTTTGATTCTATGACATCATAATCGGTGCTCTTTTTATATCAGAGAAATTTTTGAACCGTCTTTGGGTTTAATTAATTGACTTATATGCTTTGTTTTTATGTTTATTCTAGTGAAAATTTCTTGGTAATAGTGTCACGGGGGGGGGGGAGGGGGGGTGTGGTTTGGTGACGGTGGTGCTAGCTTTTACAATCTCAGTATTTTTATACAAACGTTTTTTTTTCTCTATTCCTGACTGATGTGTATCTTAAGATCACCAATACAATGCTCAACTCAAATCACCATTTGTTTGACTCTATTCCTTAAGATTACCAATGCAACGCTTAAATCTCATCACTGTTTGTTTTACTCTATTCTTTAAGATCCCCAATGCAATGCTCAACTCCCATCACCGTTTGTTTGACTCTATTCCGTCAGATCACCAATGCAATGTTCAAATCCCATCACCGTTTGTTTGACTCTATTCCGTCAGATCACCAATGCAATGCTCAACTCACACCACCGGGGCAACTTCAGATTTGAGGGCCATGAGGTCAACTTGGACGCCCAGAAAACGGCCAACGCTGTCAAGCATAGGATCACCAACGCTTCATTCAAAGCCAAAAAACTACCGGGTAGGAGGCCAGTCTGAACACAGTGTGTTTAAACAATGAAGTCAAGTGTTTTAATGACCGTGTACCTGTGGTGATGTGTTTAAATAATGAAGCCATGTGTTTTAATGACCGGGTACCTGAGGTGATGTGTTTAAATACTGATGTCATGTGTTTCCATGTTTAGATAATGTGTTTGTTTTATTGCTTTTTTTTTTTTAAATTTTTAAGCAGATGTAAGGTGTTGTGATGCTGAGGTAATTTGTTTTATACTGACTGTGTCTTCTCGTAAAATTGTTTTTTAAAAAGACTTACATGATATGTTTAAATGTCCCCTTGCGTCGTGTGTTTGATTGGTGTCTTCACTGAATACAGATCTAAACTTTGTCTTCCCTCAGATGACATCGACATTGTGGAGGACGATGAGTCCACCAGACTGTCCACAGTTGAAGAAGACCAGGAACATTCGCTGGCTAAGAACTTGAAGGCCAAGCTCATGAACAAACTCGGCGTCGACAAGAACAAGAATCGGGAAACCGTGAGACGAAACAGTGACACCCCGTCCATGAAGTCTGGCAGCGGCAGTGAGATTGTGGAGAACCTGGGAGTGGCCATCAGAAACAGTGCTGGCGGGGCCGGGATGCATGTCATGGTAGACCACCTGGAGATGGTTCCCTTGAAGGTCAATGGCAGCATTGATGACGATAAAATATCCTCTGCGGACGGCAAGCATGTCAAGTCCTCATCTTCCCCAACCATTTACAGCAAGAAATCGAACCTGATGAAAACCCTGTCTGGTTCGGATCAACCGAGTAAAGGGCATCAGCTCATGTCCCCACATAATTCCAAGAACTCTAACCCCGGTTTGAAATCGCCCCTTAGTAAAGTTCTCACCCCTGATCCAGCCAATAGTGCCAGGGCTCAGTCAGAAGGTCCGACTGTCCTATCTGACCGATCGCTATCTGACCGGTCACCATTTCAGAGAGATCAGATGGGGTCTGTTGCATCCTACACTAATGTCTCTGACCCAAATCTGCGCACGCATGGCACTCTCCCTTCCATCTCGGTCAGCAGCCATTCTATGCCAGCAGATATTGTGTCCAACAGCAATTCCGAGAAAAGTTCAGGGGGCAAACAGCTGGTTAATCGTAACTCATTTAGCACCGACTTATGACATCATACACATCGTAACAGCTCATTAAACTACTTTAACAGTAACAAAGCTTTAGCCTATCTGTTATGTTTGGCAATGCAACCGTCATAACCTATTGATTTTGTTCATTAATTTATTTTTTTATGTACTCTTGTGTGCAGTCCTCTTATAACTTATTTCATAAACCCTTTACATGACATGTCCACCATAATGCTTAATCTACACATCTGTCAGCTAAACACATCTTCCAGAACACAATAAGGAAACATGTGTCTATGCTGAACCCTTGGCCGTAGCAGCACTGGCAGTCCTTTTGATGGGTTGTTTTTTTTCACCATTCCCGTTTGCTGTAATAATATGCCTGGCAAATTTTAACTTCTGAGGTCATAATCATAAGGTTGCCATGAAACTATAAAACAGTTTTGGTTGACATAACCTCACTAATGTATGACTGATAAATTTGAGTTTGAGCACTGAACATTATGTTTTAGAATGTCAAGGCTCATTGTCTCGTTATGAACCAAACGTACGGGAAAAAAAAAGTCCCGAAGTGAAAAACATATATGAAAAATTGTCCCCCGCCTTCTTGAAATAAATCTTTTTGTTACTGTTACAAGGAAGGCCTGCCGGTGATCACTTTCAAAACATTGCCCAGTGCACAGACCTGGGTTTTACTAGGGAGCCAACTAAGAACATGTTTGATGGCACAAACAAACAATGTTTGTAGAGTTGTTTGGTTCTTCATTTTTCTTACATAAATAAAGTTGTCTTTTTTGTTCTTCTATATATTGACCATTTAGGCTCCTATGCATGTAGAGGGGATTTGCAATGTTTCTGTGCCTGGGTGCTGATGAGGATAGTTCACTGGTTGCAAGGGCTACTTTGTGAGGGTGTCATGCTTTGGGGGTTGGAAGACCTAAAGCAATTGACGCAAATGTGTCAAGTGTTGTCCCCTCAACTGTTCCCTTTGGAAGCTTGTTCCAGTCCCTGATTGTCTTTGACAGGAATGAGCAGTTCCTATACTGGCTTGTCGCTGGTATGATCCAAAACTGCCTATCATGGCCTCGTCGCAGTCTATGGGGGAGAGGGACGAGTTTCTGTTTAATGCTGGATCAGTGGACCAGTCCATTATGTTTTTGGTCCTTACCTGATGGCACAGACTGATTGTCCAAAAACTGGGAAAAACATTCCTAATTAATATTACCCATCTTCTCATCAGAATTTTGTTTATTGTTATAAATTATAGGAGTCCAAATCTTTGCTTACTCTTGCCCAGGTTTAGATTAAAAGAATCATCACATGTATAAATTAAGTTTAAAAAATTAATAGATACATTTTTCCAATAATTTTTTTTTTTTTTCATTCGTAATCTCCATGTTTGTAAACAGGAAAATTTAAATGGCTTTGAGCCAATGCAGTAAATTTGACTATCAGAGTGCAGAAGATTTCCATCACTGCGTTCAAAGAACCCTTGAAGTTTCACCTACTGCCGGTTATTATATAAGGGAGAGATATCTTTCCCTTGATCTTTGACAAGACTGTTTTAAGACCTAAACTGACACATTTACTTTACACATGGACTGTAACACTTCCACTGCAACACTTCCACTGTGTTTAAAAACATCCACTGTTTTGTAACAGATCCACTGTATTTAAAGCAGCCAGTACAACACAGCAACTCTTCTGCAAACGTATGCATCAATCAACTCACCATCTTCAGAAATTGCAACCATTAAAAAAATCACCATTCAGCCAACACATTCATCCTAGGATAATTTTATAAAAATTCTTTTAATAATATCCACTGTGTGGCCTAAAGACTCATTGTAGCCATTGAAGTTGTATTTAAATCTATCAAATTGCAATGTTGTTGTTTTTTTTAAGACACATGGATGTGTCAGTGCCAAAGAGATTTCTAACCTTGTCTCCAGTAATGTCATTGATGTAGAGCAGTGGTTCTCAAAGTGGGCGGTTTCATCCCCAAGGGTCAGTGGGATATTTTAGTGGACACTGGGTACTCCCAAATGGGTCGCTGAGGAATTTTATCAGAAATATTTTTTAAAAATTAATTTTACATTTTAAAGAAAGACGACACATTATCTTCATTGTAGGCATGAATAAGGGTGGATCGCAGATATCAGACTGATAAGGGGAAAAAAATTCATTCAAATAGGAGAGATAAAAAAAACTTTACTTTAACTTTAAAACTGAATTAACAATGATGACTAACAATAGTTTTATGCTTTGCTGCACACTGAGATACAAATAGTACAAATACTAAATGGGCAAATGAGCTGAAGACCAGGCAAGTGTGCCTTGCAGGCATATAAAACATTGTATTTTTGATTGGCTGACTCTGGTAACTCACAAGCCATGGGTGAAGACAGTGTTCTGAGTTCTACCAATGTCAGTGAGGTGCTGAATTTACAGACACAAAGCTGAGAATGTTCAAGTACAGTTGCATTCAAACCATTGTAGGTCGTCCAACTTTGATCCAGGCCAAGAATTGAAACATAAATATGGAAACAGTGAATTAAGCTTCTGCTTTTTTTAAAGCTTAAAACTGAAATCCCATACATTGTCAGAGTGTATGGCAAGTGACGATGTTAAATATTTAAAGCTCTTGTTAAATGCTTATTCCAATTTTTCAAGGAAAAAATCTTGTGTAAATTATAATTCTTTTTCAAATTTATGAAATACTATTATATGTTACATTTGAAAATTTAATTTGTTTTTCTGTCTTTTATAAAGGACCAGGCCAACTAAAAAAAGTTAAAATGCTTATATTGGGTCATGATAGGCGTTGCAGTCAAGTTTAGTTCTTTTTTTTTTTTTTTGAGGTGGGGCGGTGGCCAAGAAAAAATTTGAGAACCACTGTTGTAGAATTTCTGTATTTGCATAGTTTCACAATATTTACATTCTGTCTTACAATCCATCATTTTTTTTTCATTGGTAGCGTTGGAATGTATCGAAATTGACCAGAGTGGCGGGCCTGTCTTTGAAATATAACGTAAAGGGGAAAAACCTGGCAGCTCACCAGTGTTGGTGGCCAAGTTCTGTATGGTGATTTTTGAATGAGGTCATATGTATAAAACTTAGAACTCACTTTGGAATGGATCCTACTGTTAGTAGCTGTGTGTTTCAATTTTTTTAAAAATTCATTCTACATGATGATTGGGTTATTAATTAAATATTTAAATTGAATGTAAATTCCAATTTTTATATCTGAGGTCTAAAATAAACCGCATGCTCGTATTCCATTTAAAAAATAAAAAAAAACTGTGTGTGTGTGTATATGTATCTAAAGTGCCAATGCAAATGTTTTACTTCAATCAAACTTGATATTGGTTACCACAAGAAAACTAATTAAAATTTAATTAATTAATGTTATTATGTATGTTAGTCAAACTATCTTAAACCTATATTCTTAATTTAAATACATGCAGGCACCAATCGACAATCTCATATAAGCGGGTGCACGAAGAAAGTAAAGCAGAGGATTGAAAACAATTTTTTTTGTAATTCTTCAAGCTCCTTTCGTTTACTTCTTTGCCCTTGTCTGTTACATGTGACGAGGGAAAGACATCAACTACAGCACAACCAAATCTTTAATCTCCAGACAACAATTTGATCCTCACTTACTGTCAGCATTTCCCTGATGCTGAATCTAGTTCAGGGGTGGGCAATTTTTTGCAAATACACAGCCTGCCAACATGGAATTAAGGATGCTCTATAAAAAGAAAATTTAATAAATATCTAACGTTTTAAAATGAGTATATATATTTTTTTTAATAAATTGTTTATGAATGAAAATTTTCAACTTTTTTAAATGGGTATATTTTAAATTAATAAATGAAAATATTCAACTTGATTATTTTTCCCTCAAGCTGCGTTAAACGATCACGAGATCTGGCTCTGTATTGGAAAAACTTGACTTAATGATTTTAAAATTTGCACCTTTTAAATTGTCTGGCCATTCGTGGCATCTGTAATTACACTTAAAGGCTCATAAAAGATCCATGAGGTAAACTGAGTAGAAGGGACCTCAAAGTAAAAGTAAAAAAGGTCAATCTCAAAATGATTTCATCAATTCAATTGACATAAACTCTTATATAAGCTTACACTAATCTTCTGATTTTACTGCTTGGGTGTGATTTGCATATATTTTTTAAAATTAATTAAAATATACATTCTCCGTGTACAAAACAGTTAGCTCGGCATTTGAGAAAATGTTGCACAGACCATCTGGCAGTCATTGGTACACACACTTAAAACTTTGCATGTCTCTGGATAAGCTAGTAGTGCACTGTTCACATGTTAAAACACTGCAGTCTCTGGATAAGCTAGTGGTGCACAGTTCACATGTTAAAACACTGCAGTCTCTGGCAGTTGAAACTGTTCTCTTGGGCATATTCAAAGGATATGCTCTTTGAGTAATGAAAAGATGGGTCACGTATCTGGTGAGAACATCTGGTTTAGTCAGTGTCATACGTCTGGTGAGAATCTATGCTCTAGATGTCTTCTTGGGCATATTCAAAGGATATGTTCTTTGAGTAATGAAAAGAGGGGGTCACATATCTGGTGAGAACATCTGGTTTAGTCAGTGTCATGCGTCGTCGGGTGAGAATCTATGCTCTACATGAACTACATGTCTTCTTGGGCATACTCAAAGGATATGTTCTTTGAGTAATCAAAAGATGGGTCACATATCTGGTGAGAACATTTAGTCTAGACACTGTCATTGTCATATGTCTGGTGAGAATCTATGCTCTAGATGTCTTCTTGACAAAAAGACTAGATTATGCAAGAAAAAAAAAAGGCATGTAATATTTGGTCTTTCCAAGTCCCTGGAAACATCTATAGTTCTCCAATTTACCTTTATCGTTTGACCAAACTGGCCATGGAAATTCAAACTCTAACCATTCTTTACAAAACATTCATTCCACTTGACGTAAGGCTTGTTTGCTTGTTTGAATGTGTATCATTGTATCCACATATGAGCCAAAGTTTTCCAGCTTCCACTTATCCCTGGAAAGATTAAATTTATCCCATAGTTTGCTCACAGATTTTAATCACTC